GGGTGCATATACTTTTGGGATCAAACTGATCCAAGATCACTTCGATCGTACAAATCGTGTATACAAACGAACTACTGTGATCCGATCGATCTCTATTTGCGTATACAAACGCCATCTAGGATCAACTGGATCTCGATCAAACTAATCCTAGCGGAGGGTAGGATCGTTTGGATCGGATAAAAGAGATTAAAGATGGCGGCTTCCATGGTCGAAGTTAAGCTGACAGTGCATTTCTTCCTTTTCCTATTACTATTTCTTTTGATTGTAATAAAATGGGAACAAGATCCTTCAGTAAATTTTCGAAAGTAAGTCGACTTACTCGAAAGTGTTCTTTAAAAACATTTGGCCTATATTCTAATGCAACCTCTGAAACATAGTTAGTTATTTTGCATACCGATTTCTTTTTTTTTCTTACTTTTATATTGTGTTAAATAATTAACCAAAATTAATTTTTCTTCCTCGGATTCTGAATCTAATTCCGATAATATTTCTAAAATGATTCCTAAACTTGCCGCCATCTTCGATCCTACTCGTATACTTTCCGCCATGACAGAAGCTATCTGTATCACGTGACAAGGACTGATCCGATTTTACAGATCGATCTATACAAAACGAAAAGTATATCCACCCTTAATGTTCAATTGGTAAATATTGCATTACTTATCTATCAAAATATATCTAGCAATTAAAAAGTTACTTTTGATATTTATTGTATTGTTATATCGAATTAATAATTCATTGCTGAAAATGAATTATGCTATGAGCATATGCAATAAGGAATCAACCAACATTTTTATTTTGAATCAGAATATCACAAAATATCATCTTACAAGAAAATATTGGTTGATTCCTTATTGCATATGTGGATCCAATATTGGTATGCATTTAATTTTATTATACACTGACAACATTTATATAGAATTAATACATAATTTCATTCAATATACTTTTTTTCTGATATGTGATGGAAACATGTACATAATGAATGTAAATGCTCGTTTTCCTGGTAGTGTCCATGATGCATTTATATGGAAAAATTCCAATGTTAGAAAAGCCTTTCAGAGATGGCATAACTGCAACAGAAATGCACATACTTGGCTTTTAGGTAATGATAAATATATTATTATAGTTGTTAACAGCATGTCTCTGTTTAAATTTCCAGATACTTTATGATTTGTAAATACTGCCTACAAACTATAATTAGTTTATCAAATTACATATTGTATTTTCTAAGTGACAGTGAATATCCTTTGGAGCCGTGGTTGTTGACTCCACTTCGTACAACCAATACTCGAGCTGAAGTAAAATATAATAATTGTCTCACTGCAACTCGAAGTATAATAGAACAATGTAATGGACTCTTGAAAAATAGATGGTGATGTTTGTTGAAACATAGGGTCTTACACTATCATCCAGAGACAGCTTCAAATGTTATAATTGCATGTGTTGTGCTTCACAACATTTGCATTGAAAATATTGCTCTGGAGGATGATATATTCTAACCAGAAGACTAGTTACCACAGATCATACCATCAACAGAATATGAAAATACATCAATGATATACTTTTTAATGAAACTAGAAGGTTCAACAACTAATAAGCTTGTGTTTTTCTTAAAAATAATTTTAATGATATATATATCATTAAAACACAAGCTTATTAGTTGTTGAACCTTCTAGTTTCATTAAAAAGTATATCATTGATGTATTTTCATATTCTGTTGATGGTATGATCTGTGGTAACTGGTCTTCTGGTTGGAATATATCATCATCCTCCAGAATATATATATACACAAAGATATAAAGAACAGAAAAGTCAGTACTTTAAAATAATAAATTTATTTATTTTCAAATTAATTTTTTTTTCAACATATAAAAATATTATAAAGAATTTTCAGATAATAAATTAACAATGGTAGTTAATGCTGTAGCAATTTTTATCAGGTAGTCTGTTTTCCTCAGATATGGAAATTTCTTTCTCCCTAAACTCTAGTTCTTTTTTGTTTAATTTAATTTTTTCTTGTTGCAGCTGGATAAATGACTGTTCATTTCTTCGCTTCGCTTAATTCTTCTTCAGTGGAAATGCGTTTTCTTTTTCTTCCTTTAGCTAAAAAAAACAAATTCATATGGAAAACAGTCTTTGTACACGCTAACTATAAAATTAATTCTTTTACACTAAATCTTATAACTTTGTATATTAATATGACTTAATACATTTATAACAGATTCTATAAATTCAGTTCTTATAATTAATGCTACAGTTGCTTTAATTAAGTAATTTGAAAATATTTTAAAAATTTACTTACACTGACTCCTTTCTTTTGATAAATCTATATATTCACTATCTGTAAGATAAATTTGAAAACCATAACAAATTTTTATTATTTTGTATATGAGATTATTTTGATGCATACTAACCCTGTTCAGAATAAGAAATAAAATTTATTCCTGTTGCAGTGACATTTTCAATTTCTGACAGTGTAGATTCCTATTATAATAAATTACATTTTTAAGATGTAAACAGAGATATTATAGTACTGATAGAAATTTCAAAACTTATTAATACTCTCCATTATATACAGAAAAATAATGAAGTACAGTATAACATTTTTTAAAACAATGTTAATCTTTAAAGACTGAGGTGAATAATAATCTTTAAATTTAAAGATTATTATTCACCTCAGTCTGCAATAAGTTTGAAAATTCTTCAACTTTGGTTTTGGGGCAGCAAAACTCTGTGGAATCCACTGTGTCACCCATTATAGAAATAACCCGTTCTTGTAAGAAAGATAGTTTTTCATTTGATTCCCTGCCACCCCCAGTCTTTTCTCCGCTGTTTTTTATTCTCGATGCCTTCTCTTTCTCATTTCTCTTCATGCCAGCACTAATAAAAAAATTTTATTTGATAAAATTATACAGCAAATTTTTCCAAAACTAAAAAGAAGTATAATTCATAGAAAAAGAGAATGAATTAAAATGATAGTAAATTATATGTATAAATTAATAAGAGCATAGACACTATATTAAGATTATTTATTAATTAATCAGAAGTGTTAAGTTTGNGTATAAATTATTAAGAGACATAGACACTACATTAAGATTATTTATTAATCAGAAGTGCTAAGTTTGTTGAACAATTTAAGAAACAGATCAAGGAAGAAAACTGCAGAAAGGATTAAATTAAAATACTTTTTTCCATTCCACAACGGATTTTTTGGGTAAGAGGGTCGCCATTTACATTTACATTTTTGTTCGCCATCCCACCTTTTGGGTGGGATGGCGAACAAAAATGTAAAGGGAAAACTATGCACAAACGAGAAGCGAGAAATAACGCTAGCGAGAGGTAATTTCTGGTTCTGGCACATGAGCTGAGGAAAGACCACGTGATTTAGCTAAATCACGTGGTCTTTCATCAGCCATAGAGATGCAGCGAACTCGGGCCAATGGGGTGGCGACCGCGGGTCACGCGACACTGGTAACCGTTTCTCACGGTTATATAAGCCGTACTCGCTTTCGTATCCTGGAACCCAGTACTGTGTATGTTAATGAGTGGTTCCGTTTTCGCGCGATATTTCGGCGTCTCCCGTTATGGATTCCGCCACAATATTCGCT